TTTGAATGAACTGAAATCGATTGTGACGAGTTTATACGATTTTGAAGACAGCATTTACGCCTCGCAATGCGACCTATTATTTTCCAGGATCAATGCTGTTAATGATGTAGCGAATGTACACATACGTGTGCAACAACGAACTGGCTAGTTGTATTGGGCAAAGGAAGCAGGTCAAGCAGGTGTTCGGAAGCACATTTTGTACATGTCCGCACGCACGCCAAAATAAGACCGCGATGAGCCTCAAAGTGTGCTTATTGTATTAACGAATTTTTTTCTAATACTCTAATATATACTAGAGTTTATTAGCGAGAGGGGAAAAAAAATATAGTATAAAAATCTTTGATATTGCTGTACAATATTTATATTGATGAATTATTATGATCATATTTTGTGCTATTTGAGTATTTTTAATTCTAAATTTTTTTTTGCTAATTTATTTGTTTGGTTAAAATTAACTTTGCGTATGAAGAAGAATTTTTTTTTCGATAATTACATAAAATATACACTTTAGACATTAAACTGATAGTGACCCTAATATTGTGAACAGCGTTCATTGAGCTTGAATCCATATAGTCTCGCCAAGACATCTGCTACTCTGAAATTTTGATTTGATTTACAGTCTTATTGCGTGAGAAATTTATCTCCCGTTGTGACACTGTTAGATGATATAATACAGATTAATATTTGTCTAAGTTTAAGTATATGTGACTTGTAACGTTATGTTATTTTCAATAATTATTCTTAAGCTTAATCTTTAAATTTTACTGGAATCGCTAATAAATATTTTAAATTACTAAAATTACTAAACTTTAATTAATTTAATTCTCAAATTCAATACAAAACAACTAAATATTTTAGAATTTTATCTTATACGTTAGTTATTTCAAAATCTTACAAATCGGTAGGGGGTCACATTTTCCAAAAAGAATGTTACCAATGACCATTTTTTTTAAAATTTTCACAAAATCAAAATTTCCAAAAAATTATATTTCATAATGTTTATTTCTTGTCCGAAAATTTTGAACAAAATACATTACACTGACAGGAACAACTTCATGTTGCCTTCTTTTAAAAAATAAAATTGCAGATGTCAGACAGCAGTAAAAAATTATTCGGTGCAAAGTTCTTAATTCTTATAAACAATTATGGCAGAAATACTTCAATTAAAATCTTGCATCAATGGCTTCTTATATTACCTACAAACACTCAAATCTGTCTGGTAGACTTATTGGACATGTAATAAAAGAGAAAGCCGATACAGAAATAAAGCTTAGACAATTGCAACTAGGACAGAAAATTAAAAGAGGAATTGATGCGAAGAAATTGCAAGCTCAGGAACAAATTGTTAATACTGTTGCGACATATCACGATCATGTCCAAAATGGAGATGTTTTAACGGACTTAAGAGGTGTCAGTTATAACCCTAATGTTCATGGCAGAAGTCCTTTATTAAAATATTGACACTAATAAATTTGAACAAAATTCATTTCTCTATTTTCTTTTCTTTTTCACGGGATTTTGATAACAACAAACTGAAGATCAAAAATTGGAAACTTCTAGGCATTATTCCATGCTTGCGACGTTGTCATATTAATTGTACATTGACTGACAGTTCATTACGACGTTTTCTGCTCTTCGATTTATACGTATTTCTCATTGATTATGTTTATTTTTAATTATTACTAGTTTTTTCAGTTTTATTTGTTAGTGTTAAAAATTAATTCATTTTTTCTAAATAGGTAAATTCATTTTATACAATACAAAAATATTTTAGGTGCAAAATAACGTTGATTAATTTCTTTTTTAATTATATTGTTACGTCCGGACGTGTCGGTTCGACCTTTGTTTTTATTAAAATTTAAGAAAGGGAAACCAATGATGATATATAATTATTTTATAATGATTATATATAAACATGTGTGACTATGTTGATTGTGTGAGCTCACCGTATGAATGAATAAAATGACAAATTGTTTAATATAAGTTATATGTTAGTAGTTTAATTGTCTTTATTTTATATTTTTACCAATATTTAAATAATAATTCCATATTTCTCCTAATATAACTATATTTTAGCATTGTATAGTCAACAATTCTAAATCATAAATGTAACCCTAAACTTAAAATCCTAGAAGAAGATTATTAAGAATTTGGGAATTTACGTATTATAAACTTTATTATTCCAAGAGACGATTTAGAGAATGGACCATCTTGTCACTTCTTTTGAATTGGAGCCTTTCTTAAGCTGGGTCCTCGTTTATTTTTCATTTATCAATTTTTCATCTACTAGAGTTTATTGCGGTAAACCCTATCATAAAAAAAGGTGCACTCGAAACTCTAAAAAAAATAACAAGACCGAGGTCTGTAACGCAGATGCTCGGTAATAAACTTAGACCCACAGTAATGAGTCATTTTGGGATCTAAACCCCACCCTCTACATGATTTTCCTCCTCTTTTCCATTGCTAATTGCGATTTGAGGAAATTCTATTTTTGGAAGGGAGAAAATTACAAAGTAGGGATATGATTTTGGCAAATTTCAATCCTTGAGGCCCTCGAGTGTCACCTTAAGAGTAATCTTTTTAAACTGGCAAGAGTAAGATAAAATAACGAGGTCTCTGTTTACGGGCCCCTTTTCAAGTTCTTGCTGGACTTTGTCCACCTTTTAAGAACCACTGAAGTGCTCGTGGTCGGTCCTCTTTGTGTCTTCTTGATTTTGCCCGTGATCTAAATAGTTCCGGTAGTTTAATTAAAATTAAAATAAATAAAACCCAGAATCTTCTTCAAGGATATCGACGTCTATTGCTGTACTCATGGTATGGTAAGTAAAAATCTTAACTATTTTCAATGGTTTATTCGGAGAAATAAAGTTGTTATAAATAAAGGCAGTATTTAAATTTTAATTGTTTTATTCCACTGCGTGGGTTGGTATTCCCTTTGAAAGAGTAAGGATCCACAGAGATATTAAATAAAATATCCTCTTAAAGTATTTACAAAATTAAAAAATGTCATAGATAAATTTCACGGAGAAAGGTCCATATAAAATACATACAGTTTTCATCAAAAGTCCCCGAACGATTGGATATTTCTTCAGGATTGAATTTTTGGAAAAAATGTTCATGATAAACATGAAAAGTTGTTCATGATAAAAAAGTCTATTAAAGTAGGTATTTCAGAAATTGGCCCATATTGGTCCTATGTGTAAAGAGTTCCTTTTTTTAAAATGGAACTATCTTCTGGAAAAGTGTAAATAAAATCCTACTACATATTAAATTAATATTATTGAATATTACAAGCAGATTGTGCCATTAACTACCAAAGTGTATTGTTTTCTGTTTAAAAAAATAATATTATTTATGACAATTGTTACATATTGTATATTAATGTATTAATCACCGTCATGTCTATGTTGATTAATAAAAAATAAACATTATATTATTGTATATTATTATTATTTATCATTTTTAATATTTTAATATAATTACATTAAAAATTTTTAAAAATTTTATTTTAATGGTTTTCGGTAAATTTTTTCTAATTAATTTCAGCACGTTTGCTTTGACACTTTTAGCAAATTCATAATAAAAGTTTACTGCAACTTTATCTAGGCAGTTTATAGTAAATTTAATATTAAAGTTTTCAGAAAGTTTACTATATAAATTTTCAGTACAATTATTCTCTAAATCTGAATCAGTAGAAATTTTACTAATTCAATCAGTACTTTTCATTTTAACTGAAGTTTCAGTTATTTTTTGAAATTTACTAATATAATTAGTGAATATGTAAGCAATAAAAAATAGCTTATGTAAATCAGTAATTTGTATATAACATAACCTTTAAAATTAACTATTAAATCAGTAGATTTTGTGGCCGCCGCCATATATTTATATTACTGATTCAATCAGTAATTGATATTTTACTAATTGAATCAGTAAATTTCTACTAATTGTCAGTTGCTCAATTCTCGCTATGGCAATTAGTAGATTTCTACTGCTAATAAGTAAAATATGACTGATTCAGATTTAGAGAGTACTATGTAAATTTTTAACAATTTTTCTATGTAAACTTCCAGTAAGTTTTCATGTTCAACTTCCCGCAAGTTTTCATGGTAATGTTGCAGTAAATCATGATAAACTTGTAGGAGAAAGGATATTTACACACATGGTGCAAGTTTATAGAAAACTTGCAGTACAAACTTGATGAAAAATTTCGTGCTATGTGCGAGTTGCCAATAATAAAAAAAAAAGTTTGTTTCTTAAAAATGTTTAGTTATTGCAAAAATTCGATACATTGAAAGAAATCAAAATGATGTAAAAAAGTTTCCTCTTGTCATTTATATTTACGAGGAAGCAGCATTTCAATGACACGGTTTTTCATCCGTCTAAAATTGAATTGTGTAATATTATAATCTTTTTTAGGCAAATAATATATATGGCACAAGAATTTAAAGAAGATCTTTTGTTATCGGTACTTGCATATACTACAATTGTATGCACTTCCTTTTTGACAAAACCCCTCAATTCCGTTTCATCAATCTTTCATCATATGTCAGAAAAGTGCAATTCAGCGTCACCATTAAATTCCTGTTTAGCTGGAAAGGAAATTAATTTTAAAATTCATCTATTTGATAGGCAGTACCATAGAAAAGTAAATAGTTTCTTAAACGTCTTCTTTAACTCTCTGTTATAAATGAAGTCAAAATACTTGAATTCAAAATAAGGAAGAATAAAAGATTGATCGAGTGGGTATATTGGAACTGGCAAAGCAACTATGTGTGGTAACGATTGTAGAATGTTAGAGGGGGTTGAAATACGGATATATAGCGAGGCGAGGGTTGGTTTTGATGGTAGCGGAGAACTGTTTAAAAGCAGTTGGTTTATACAACCTGCATCCACACTATAGCCTAACAATCGTCGGCGATGGAAAGGCACTGGAAGGAGAAAACTTGACTCTCCACCACGAGCCAACCTAACCAGTATCGAACCGGCGTCTGAACCTACGCCACGTATCTTATATATATAATATGTGTGTATGTTGTTTCCCTAAACGGAATTTAACCTTCCCATATATACTATATCACAATTCAAGACCTTTCTCTCGTAACCACGTGCTTTGAATTTTTTTTCTACCTATTAGTTGTCAGCCAATTTTTCTAAAAAAAAATTTAGTGAAAATATTGTTTATTAAAATAGTGATTGTGTGAAGAAAAATTGTTTATAAAATAATTGCAATGAGAAGGAAAAAATGTGATATTAAAAATGTTATGACAGTAATTGTGATGATAATGAAAGTTTAAGTATAACTCAAAGGATGTCGCGATCAACCCCGCCCTGTGGTGGTAAGGGTGGTGCCGGGAATTCTACCCCGAGTGGCAGCCCGAAAACACCACGTGGCAGTAGTGCTCTCAGCGAGAGGGTTAACTTCTTTGAGCAAATGTGGTCGAGAGGTAGTAGTCGATCAGCGAGTATGGATGATCTTCAGAGGGATGAAATAGATGGTCAGGGGAGAAGAAGAAGCACCTCAAATTTGGCTGTGAATATGCCTAGATCATCGTCTAGGGCTAGTAATTCCTCATTTGAAGAGAGCTTCGAAAGGCTCGTTGAAGAGGGGGAATTAAATGGAGCAAAGGTATTGAAGGGATTTAGAATTTTTGATCCTTTCAATAAAAAAATTCACATTAGCATTACTTCTAATTTTGATCTTTTATAATTCTTATAATTCCTTAATCCCTAATGATTGTTTTAGAAATGAAGATGGATATTGATTTAATAATTAAGGGGAATAAAAATCAAGTGATTTACAAATTTTTTAAACTATTATTAAGAATATAGATAAACTTGCTTAAGATTAACAATTCTTTATGGTTAATTAAATTCTTTCCTTGTTTTTCCTCAGGGAAAAAATTATAAACCTCCGTAGGCATAATTCAATAATCTTTAAAGCGAAATATTTAATCTTCGTAGAATCTGAAAATGATCTAAAGTATATAGTTAAGAGCATGTGTGGTAAATGTAAGTGTAAGACAAATATTTATATAATTGTTGAACATACGGATAAAGAAGGTTATAAATAATTGATGTAGGATATGATTATGAGTATTATTAATGATGATTAAACAACATGAAAAATATTAGGCAAATGTTTAGATGAAAATTTAGTATCTTTGCAGCAGCTTTTTCTATTAAGAAAGCAAAAGGGAATTTTTAAATCTAACAAACTATAGAGATTAGAAAATATTTAAAAATAAATGTAACTAATAAAGATGCTTTTATTTTAATATCTGTCAATTGTAGCGAAATTGTTATCAGTGTTATAAATTACATCATTATCATATATATATATATATATCATTATTGAGACATATTTATTTTAATCTTTTTACTAATTTATTCAGAGTAAAATTATTAGCCACAATAATAACTGAATCCTTGAATCAATTTTGTACAAAGTCTAAATGATTAATTGCCTAGAAAGAGTTCTTGAATCATTTTTATGAATGAATTGATGTTTAAAGATGAATATAAAGATAAGTTACATTGGTTATAAAGTAAAAGTATTTTTTTCATCAATTCCATTTGCCTTGAAAGAGTTAAAGAGATAAAATATTTTTGTTTGCATATTGACAAGAATTTATAAGTTGCAAATTTACAGATAGCAGATGATAAAAAGAAAACTAGAAACAATTAAATTTAACATACTGTCGTATAATTCATTGATTTTAAAATTCTAATTATAGGGGAAAAAAATAAAGAAAAGAGAATTTTCTACAAGCAGTCAATTTTTCATTTCTAACAAAAATATAACTATATAGAAATTTAATTAAAGGAAAATTATAATGCAGAAAAAATTGATTTTACAATCTCTAATCAAACGGGAATTTCTTTTCAATCTTGCCAATTTAATTTTTTTCCACTTTGTGCCAACACCTGAGCCAAGTTTTCTGTTTTTCATTCTCGATGATATAAACTCCACAAAAGGAAATTTAAATGAAAAACTATTCATTGCCATTTTTTTTCATCAAATTTAAGTATTTATTATTCAAGGACAATCTTGATGAAAAAATTTTCATGAGAAAATTGAATCTAAATATTTTTCTCATATATAACGATTCATTGGAACATAAATGTTCAGTAGGATTTTTTTCCTTAACGAAATAAAAAAATATTTTTATCCAATATGAATATAAAGATTCAATCTATTATGCAATTGAGAATATTAATTTCTTAGAATATCAATTCCTTTAATTAAACTATTTTCTTCAGTGTCGATGGCAACAAGAAACAGATGGGGGGGGGGGGCAAGGGATTAAAAGGCAATATCCATCTTTATTTATAATTTAAAATCCATTGATTATCTTCTAATATTTTTGTCGAATTCGGAAAATTGGCATTGAACCGAATGCTGTTCGAATTTTGTTAAAAGAAGAATTTTGCCGCTAATCCATGAAATATGATGGAAAAAAATTGATACAAATTATTAAGTTAGTTAAAGTATACAAGAATTAATTACTAATTAATTAGAGCTGAATTTAACTCAATTCTTGTATACATTAACTAACTTAATAATTTGTATTAATTTTTTTCCATCATATTTCATGTTTTATCAGTAGAATTTTGCATTCAGCCAAAGTTAACCAAATTCGGTTCAAACGCAGTATTCCGAATTCGTCAGGGATATTAATTTCCTAAAAATTTATCACCTCTCCAATTTAAAAATAATTCCATAATTATCATTATTTTAATTGGAGATTGCAAAATTTTACCAAAAGGTGGTGAAATTCGAGAAGATCACAGTGAAAAAGAGTTTTCGTGAAATTACAACAGCATCGACATTAACAAGTGGAATTGGAACCAATGGAAATAATCCCACATTAGGACAAGTGTTAACGGAAGCAAGTACACCAAGTGAAGAACATGCATTTGAAGATTCAGCATATCAAAGTCATAGTCATGGAATACAAAGTCAATGTAGTAAATCAAGTTCAGTGACGTCATTTGCTAAATTTCCCTCGGAGGAAAGTCTTAATTTTCCAAGAAGAGGAACAAGTCCACGACCATCAAGTGCATTAGATGAAAAACCACCATCCGAATGGTACGCTGAATATCGTAATCAGAGCTTCCAAAATATTGGATCAAGAATGGAATACGTACGAAGTCGTAGTGAATATGATGCACATATTGCAGAGATCAAAGGTACGGGATATAATTACAATTGTTTTTTTTTTTTTTTAAATCAGAATTTATTAGATTACATAAAAATTCGACGGCGGATAAATACTTGGTTTATAATTATCATTATTGATATATAATCTTGGGAGATTTTTGATAAAAATTTTTCTGTTTTTAATAATTTTAATATATTCCTATATTCTTTAGGCTAACAATTGTTAAAAAAATTCACAACTGTCTGTCCGTCTGTTTGTCCTATTTTTTTTAATTTTAAACGGAAAATAAGGTTCACGTAATGTAAGGAGTAAAACTATTTGTTTCTCTGTGACATTAGCTTTAGCATAGTGATTAGAGTGTTGGATTTTAAAACTCAGGGTCCCGAGTTCGAATCCCACTAGGTGTAAATATTTTAATTTATAAAGGCCCTAGCAGGAGAGGCATGGAAAAAGTGCCTTCGTATGAATCAGGTTTATATTTGGGGAATAATTTAGTTCTATTATAAAATTTATTTTCTCCAAATTTCAACTAAAAAAAAAAAAATTTTTGTTTTTAAGTTACACGCTTTTTGGAGAAATTCAAAAATTTTTATTTTCATAAAAAAATATATGTAAACTTTTTTAAAAATTTTTGCAAACTAAAATTAGATTTTTTAAAATTTCAATATTGCTGACCCAATGTGGAATATGTTTGTTTTTTTAAAAAAAAAACATGAAAAAAAATAAGATTTGACGTCAGACTTGTATAGAGATAATGTCAACTAATCTACTTTGATGTAGATGAATGTGCGTCGTAGAAGATAAAATCTTTGTGAATCAGGAATGAGTGAGTTGAGATGCAATTCACAAGAGCGAAGACGTCCACGTATGACGTCATGTGTGGTATTCAGTTAACCTAGTCCTCCTTACGCAATGGGAGAATATATAGGTTATATGGGGGGAAATATAAAAACACCTGGTGATGTTCCAACACAAAAAGAAGCAACAACAAAAATATATGGAATAACCAAATATTATACCCAATCTTTTGCCACATTAAGTAAATATTTATTTTTTTTTGGATTTAGAACTATATATATTATATTATATTATATTATATTATATTATATTATATTATATTATATTATATTATATTATATTATATTATATTATAATATTATTCAGGTCTGTTGGTTTCTTTTTGTATTTATAATTCAAGAATTATTAAAATTTCAAATCTTCGATTCCTTTGAGATGCTATAACGTTAAATCAAGTAATTGAACAATTTCAAAACAACTTTAAAGTTTTAACACCTACACTTCTAAAGAAGCCAAAATCCAGAAATAACCAATAGGTCGAGAGTAATTATACTTTCGAGAAATATGTGCTCTATATTTGATAAAGAATTTTTTCCAACTTTTCATTTTAATGTTTATACAAAACAAATTTTTGACTAAAAATAAAAATTATTTTTAATTTTTAATTAACATATATATTCATTTTCTTCTAAATTAATATAATTCTACTATTAATTAAATTCTTCTATTATGTAGAAGGTAATTTATTTTTCTAACTATTTATAACTTATTAATTTTATTAAATTGCTATTATTTATTAAAGTACTCTCTATAAAATTAGTTAGAATTCGTTCACTTTAAAAGAAAAAAATTAGTAAAAAGTTTAACTGATTTAAATTAATTAACGAATTCTCACTAATTCAAATTTAGAAGAGTACTAAAAATTATTTATTAAAATTTATCATTAAATTATTATTATTATTATTTATTTAATAAAATAAAAGTTCGAAGCGCTGATAAGCTTGCAAGTATATAAAAGAAAAATTATTATTTGGTTTATTACTTAAGCAAGATTGTATATAATAAACTTATTATATTATGTACCTATGTAAATTAAAAATTCAGTTGCCAAAGAAGGAAAGCAGTAAATTCATAAATAAATTGAAAGAATACAAAAATTGTAATAAAACAAGTGGGATTGCAATGGAAACCGGATATTTCAGTAATTCACGCTATAAAGCGTGAATATTGTGGCGAGATACCGAAACGAAATTTCGTCTGGTTGGTGGATTTTTCTTCTTTTATCATTCCTGTTAATAGTTAATGGTCACATAAGTCTGCCAGTTCAAGGTTTCTCACTTCATTCTCTGTTTCTTATGCTGTTTCTGACTTTTTAGTTGTTTGGGTATATATATATTTTTTTTTAGTCTTCCTCTCACTCAAACATATATAATTCACACGTTGTATTATCTCAAAATTTATCAAAATAATTGCATTATTTGTTAATAGGTATTCTTTATATATTTATAATTAATTTTAATATAATTCTTTTATTCGTCTTTTAATAGATGCTTAAATAATTCATAAGTTACGATTTAAAATTTAGCGCCATTATTCATAGTTTTGTGTTACAATGTTGGTACTTGTATTTGTTAATGTGTTTGTTCAGTTCAGAACATTTCTAACCTAAAAATTTTGCTATTTAATGGTATTAAGTAGATTTTAAAATAGAAAATTTGTTTGTAAAAAGAAATTCAATGAGAAACTTGGAAACTGCGTTTAAGATAAATATTTGAAAATGTTAATTCAATTCATTTCATTGACAAATAAATAAATTCGTAATCTTTCTTGAAGTTTTTATGTCTTGAATGGTTAAGATCCTTAAGGCGGAGAGTTCGTACTCGGGGGGTCGATTATGTAAATCCATTTCCTCTTCCATTTTTTTCAATTTTCAATTTCCACTTTCACTTCCATTTTCACTTCCTCTTTTTCCAATTTTCACTCCCATTTCCAATTCCACTTTTTCTATTTTTACTCCCATTTCCTCTTTCACTTTTTCCAATTTTCATTTCCAATTTTCACTCCCACTTCCATTTCCACTTCCTCATTTTCCACTTTTGGAAGTCTTTGAGATGTCTTTAATGAGTCTTAATTCGAATCTTAATTCAGTATTTAAGCTTTAATTATTTATAATTTTAATAAAAATTATAGCCTCAATCAATGTTACCTTCAGTAAATAATAGCTTCAATGAATGTTATCTTTCATTCTTAAATCAAAAGTAGCTTCTGTAATAAATTTTGTTGCTACAGTCAACTGTTATAAATTTTAATAAGTACCTAACCAAAAATTTCAGTATTATACCAGAGTTAACTACTGACGCAGTACTGGTTCAGTATTGGCTGCCAAGGCTGGGCAGTCTGTACTAAACCAGTACTGGTATTTTCATTGTATCAGTACTGGTGCAGTACCACCCTCACAGTACTGGCAAACCAGTACTGAGCCGATATTGAGCCTGTACTGGCTCAAATAGATTTTCTTTTTGATTAATACTAGTTTACAAAAAGTTCTAGAGTGAACCCGCTAAATCTTTTTGTTTAAATATTTTGTTTTTAAAAATTTGTTCACTTTGATTTTATTTTTGAAAATTAAAAGGTATTTTATTTTGCTTTTTTGTAAGTAAAATTATTTAAACAAAAAGTTTCGTGAGACTAATTCCAAAACATTTTGCAAGTTTTTTTTTATTGTTTGCAGATATGCAATAAACCAAAAAAAATTTTAAACGATCAAACTAAAAATAAATAAAATTTTTTATAAAAAAATTAATAATTTTTAAAATAAAAATTTTAAAAAATTTTCTTGACAACACTTGTTAAAAATTAAAAAACAAGTTTTATTTTCTTAAAAAAGTTTTTCAAAAATTTATTTTGATGCATTAATTAAAGTGAATAATAAAATAATTAAATAGCTAATTGTATAATTATATACATTATAATTATTTTATAAACATTTTTATTTTTACTGAATTGTTTTTATATATTATAAAAACTTTGGTTTTATAATAAACATATTTTTCTATTTATTTTTTGATTTTTTAAAATAATAATTTGCAATATATATATATTATACTTAATAAGGAATAAAAATTCTTGGTGTTTTCGATTTTATATATAATAAAATATTAATTAGTTAGTTGACTAATTTAATTAATATTTAATTTGTGTTGGGTTACTAAAAATTTCACACACTTTTTCCTAAAAAAAAAGTATTACCTGGAGCAGAGATTTCACTATTGCAGTGAAACTTATCTCTGTTACAGTTAAAGCTTTCTTTTCGTATACAATAAATTACAAAACTACCAGTACTCAGCCAGTACTGAACCAATAGTGGTTACCAGTACTGGTGCCAACTCTAACAGCCAATACTGGTAAAATGTTATCATCCCAAAGTTACGCCAACTCTGGTGCCAATACTGGGTGCCAGTACTGCGCCATTAGTAAATTTTTGATTGGATAAATATGTTAGCCACAATCAATAGTAACTCATATACAATTACCGATCGTTTGAAAATATTATAATAATTTAATTTCTCTTCATTGAAATAAAACATTTTCAAGTTTTTCTACTCCGTAGATAATTCTGATCTATTTAATGATATGTATATTAATGACTATATATTGTATATGAGTTGAATATAAAAATGATTTCAATGTAATCGATTATTATAAATGTTCGAGTATTTTATGCAGTGATGTTGGTAACCTTGAATGGGAAGCCAGACTTTTAATAAAAGTCTCTTGCGCTTTCTCTTTCATCTCCGCACGACTTTTGATCTTTGTCGATCGATGATACAATCATTTCGTAATCAATGCGATTTTGCGAAGGTGATAATTTGACTGATAAACAATATATGTTGACAGAAATTAATTTGCAGAATATTATAGTATGTAGTTATAATTTTATTTATTTTTTGTTAATTTCTTCTTGTATTTAAATTTAATTATTTAAAGAATATATATTAAAATAATAATAATAATAATAATAATTTAATATCCCCAATAGTAAGTTTTTTTTCAAATATTTTTTTAAATTTTTCATTAATTTTGTCGACTGCAAATCATTATCGAGTTTCTAATTTTAGTTTATTGTTTCGATTATTTTAAATGGTACATGTTACATCATATCTAGTAATATATATACACTGCGTTTTATAAATGGGTAAATTTTAATAATTTTATCTTTTTTCTTGATTT